AAAAAGCCAAACCTGAACCTGGTCAAGCCTCAAGATCTAACTATAGTTTATAGAAAATATAGGGAAAAAACATTAAACACCAACAAGAGATACAATTAGAAAAAAAAAATCCAGTCTGCAAATACTCTAGAACAGTGGTCGGCAAACTCATTAGTCAACAGAGCCAAATATCAACAGTATAAGGATTGAAATTTCTTTTGAGAGTCGAAAACCAACTTCTGCGCATGGGCCATGAAGTTTCATTCGCAATATACGTGTGTGCCCGCCCGTGGTATTTTGTGGAAGAGCCACACACCAGGGACCAAAGAGCCACAATGTGGCTAGTGAGCCAAGGTTTGCTGACCACTGCTCTAGGACAATCATGTTTCTCAACAAAAAAATGTTAAGAAAATAAAGAGAGGGGAAAAAAGAGAATCCTAGATTCAAAATGTCTTAAGAGATGTTAATTATTTTAATGTGTAAAGCTTATTTGGATCCTCATCAAAGAAAGAACTAAAACATTTAGGAAAATGTAAATACCAATTGCTATTTAAAAATATGAAAAATTTTAAATTTTAGTTGCGATAATGGAATTATTGTTATATTTTTAAGCTTCCTTATCTTTTTTTATAAGAATTAAACTTTTTATGTTGAGATAATAGATTCACAAGTAGTTGTAAGAAATGATACAAATAAATCCCTCATAGCTTTTACCTAGTTTCCCCAATGGTAACATCTTGCAAAATTATAGTACAATATCACAGCCAAGATAATGACATTGATTCAGTCAGATATAGAACACTTCCTTCATGTTGCCTTTGCTAGTCGTACCCACTTCCCTCCCACCCTGGCAATCACAAATCTGTTCTCCAATCTATAGTTCTGTCATTTCAAAAATGTTAGATAAACGGAATCATACACTATGCAACCTTTGGGATTAGCTTCTGACACTTAGCATAATTACCTGGACATTCATCTATGTTGCTGAGTATATCAATAGTTTGCTCCTTTGTGTTTTTTGTTTGTTGTTGTTATTAATCCTCACCAGAGGATATTTTCCCATTGATTTTTAGAGATAGTGGAAGGGAGAGAGAGGGAGAGACCAAAAGAGAGAAACATCAATGTGAGAGAGACACATCAACTGGTTGGGATTGAGCAACCGAGGTACGTGTCCTTGACCAGAATCAAACCCAGGACCCTTCAGTGTACAGGCTGACACTCTATCCACTGAGTCAAACTGACGAGGGCGATAGTTGGTTCCTTTGCATTGCTGAGTCATTTTCCATGGTGAGGATATATGACAGTTTGTTTAACCATCCACACTCTCAGGGACATCTGGGTAGTTTCCATGGGCTATGTGACTAAAGCTGCTATAAACATTTATGTAGAGCCCTTACCTTTAAAAAATATTTCCTTAAACATTTATGAGCAAGATAATATGATGTCTAAGATTTGCTTAAAAAAAATTCCACATTGGATGAAATACAAAAAAAAAAAAAATCATCCATGAGTTTGTAAGTATACTATACTATCATCTCTACCTTTATACATGTATATAAAAAAGAGACCATTAAGAGAAAATTACTTATCTGATCACTATACACCCAAGATCACAGGAACTCTTTCCCTAAAACACAGAGCCCACACCTCCCATGATTATTGTTGTCATATTCACTCTACCAATTTAGGCCGATCCAACCTGGGCATCTGTTAACTCTCTTTCAGAAGTTCTTTAAAAAACAAAACAAAAAAAAAAAACAAAACAAGGAAGTTTTTATTAGACTGCAGGGTTGAGATAATAGTAGTCTGTAATGTTGGACAAAAGCAGGTAAGTAATCACCATAATCAAATGTATGAGATTCATGAGTGGCTTGTCTTCAAAAGAGAGAGTTCGTGTCTGACATGAGCAGGTCCTTATCATCAAGACAAATGCTGAGAGAACAGAAGTGTGATTACCAAAGATGAAGAGCAACAAACTATAAAAGCACAATCAAGCCTGAAAATGAACTGAAATGCATTTTATATTATGCGAAGGCTGCTTTTGTTTTTAAGCTGCTCTAGAGGACAAGATATTATCATCATGTTCAGTGTGCAAGCTAATGATTTTTTAGCATAATTCTGCAAAATGGAACCTATGATTTGGTGCCACCAAACACAAGGTGGGCCAAAAGTAGGTCTACAGTTGTGAGTACATGAAATACATAGTGTATTCTTGCGTTATTATTTATTAATTGCTGCATTATTTTCAATTACAATTACAACTGTTCATATGGAAAATAATGCAGCAATTAATAAATAATAACGCAAGAATACACTGTGTTTCATGTACTCACAACTGTAGACCTACTTTTGGCCCACCCTGTATTTGCTCATTCTCCCCTTGGGCTGTATCATACCCTCCCCTTTATTCCATTATTTTTTCTCCACACAGGGCCTTCCAAAAATGAAGACCAATCCTCTCAAAGTTCTCAAGCAAAGAAAGGTACATAAATACCAACCCATTAGCTAATCTGGGACTAGAAGCCAAGACCTCCCAAGGAAATATTCATGATGACTTTCAAATGCCAAGTAGTGCAATGGCAACAAATGAGTGTCTCTTGTTAGGTCTTTAGTGCCTGACGAACACCGTGATAAGCAATTCTAAAGCTTAAACAAAGTTTGTTATCAAAAGTAGAAGAGCTGTCCACAAATAAAACCCAATAAGACAAATTCCAAAGGGACATCTAAATGCTATAGTTCTAATGTAGTTTGGATACATCAAATATCCCTCCTATTAATTGGGCCCACACTTGGTGTTAGGAATAGTAATGTTTACTGTGATTGGCTATGTAGGAAAAAAAAGTTTCAATAACAGACTATCTATATGACACTTAAAGGCCTATAAATTGAAAGATATTAATCAATTCCATTAAGAATAAGTAAGGTACAGATTGGTTCATTTGGTTGATTTAGTAACTTAGGAATTCTTTTAATGGAATGAAATCTATTTGGAATATCATATTAGGGAACTAAGAAAACAGGGTTGAGTTCAAAATCTTATTCATATGACATGAGTCAGAACAGAGACCTGTGGAATTAAAACCCCAAAATGACATAGACCACCAGGAATTGGGCTATAGGCTTGCAGTGAGGAGATGAATAACTGCTGCTAGAGAGAAAAAAAGGAAAAGGCTGACAATTGGGCTGAGCGACACGATGGAAAACATAACTGAGAAGGAGTTGAGAAAAAAAGGCAGTCAAGTCAAACACAAGAGAAGCGTATAGCTTCGGATGCTCTCTTCTTCCATCCTTTTGCCATCTCTCTTCACTCTTACAACCAAACGTTTTCTGGCCCTATGGATTCTGGTATTATAGTATACAGTTTTGAATGGCTTGTGGTCAATGACAAGACATTGTTAGTTGAAACTCTTAGCACCGTTCACCTTGACATACTTGAAGGTCAATAGAAAATATTTTGCATAAAATAAAATGCTCTTGCCGAAAACCTTTATGGCTGATTTGCTTCTATATCTTATTACCCTTTTATCATAGCAACCACCCCACACTTGTTCTATAAAACTAGAATTTTGGGGGTGGGGGCGTTCTTGTGAGCTGAAAGGGTTTCAGAGAAAAGAACACGGGAAAGAACAAGAGAAGGGACTATATGCAGGCAGAACAAAAACAACAGGGACAGTATTAAACCTGGGAAGAATTCCAGGAACAAACTGCACAAGATGGGTTCAGGGAAATGAATGGCTGGGTTTGGCAGGAGCGGAGACTGTGTGGAGGGAAGGAGAAGATAAGCTTGAAAGGGCAGGTCAGTGCCAGGGAGTGGCAGCCCCTGGGGGCCAGCGGAGGCATTTAGCCCACATGCCATGGGCCCTTGGGAATCTCCTGCAGCTCTGCTGGTGGGGAAGAGAGAAGCAGCCGTGCTTAAGAAGATGTGACTAACGGTACAGTGCAAGGGGAAAGGAGCAGAAGACCAGGGGTGGGAAGCTTGACTAAGTGTTTCAGGCGAGGCTACAGGGCTTGATCTAGGAGGGTCAAAGTGGGAAGAGAGAGGAAAAAATTAATTTGAGGGGCAGTGTGAAAGATACATATACTTAAATCTAGTTTTGTCCTCAATTAAAACCTAAAAAAAAAAAATGGTCATTTGTAATCATTGTCAAATGCTACTTATAAAATGCTAAGGATTCTTATGTTGATTGGGAGGTAAACTGTCATTATTATGATCAAACACATAAAAGGACCTAAAAATGTTAATGGTTGATAAAGTCATTTTTAAAGGAAGTTTTGATTGAGCTTAACAGAGCCTTGGAAAAATAAGATTTTGATATAAGAAAAATTATATTTAAGGAGACTATGATTGGATGCAAGGTGATGAGTATTTTTAAATTTCTAAAATAATTAACTGCTGATTTTAGCAAGGCAGCTATAATGACATAAATGATTGACATCTATTTTTCTCTACTTTTGCAAATCTGCTTTTTATATGTACTTTTGCAGATCTATTTTCTCTGCTTTTTAAATCATTATTGCAAAGCTATTATTAATCAAAAGTTAATTTTTTGCAAATATTCCTATGTGACACCAGCTAAATATACACTATATTTTTTTAGTGTATATGCCAATTCAGTTTCTATTCTCGTTTACTTAATACATTTTTATTGAGCAGCTACTATATTTTAAGGACTGTGCTGGTGCTGGGGTAAAAGAAAGATAAATGGACATGATCTGTACACATGACAGCACACCATATGGCGTGAAAGATGGATATTATTTTTATTGAAATATCCAAATATATAACTTAAAATGTGATAAGCATTATGAAAAAATTACAGATTTTTATGAGAGTTGATAACAGGGAGGCTAAACTAAGACTGGGTCTGGGAAGGTTTGTTATTTTTAAGGAAACTGTGTTAGAATTGAAGCTTGTAAGTAGGTAGAAGAGTGAGATAGGAAAAAAAATAGGGAAGAGAAACTAGGTAAGAAAGTGAGCAGCGGAAAGGATCACATACAATAACATGAAAATTGCCTCTAACCTGTTGGGTAATGGTGTCCCAGGGTCCCTGCTGCAGCCGCGTCTTATAGCACTCGTGGACTCCTTCCCAGACGTCCTTCAGAGATAAGGGTCTCCCATCTGCAGAGGAGCACGGGAAAGACTGACAGCAATCCGTGTGACAGTGGTGCTTGGTGTCTATCTAAAACTACCAGGAGAATATTATGACTTTTTAAAAAATCAAGAGTGCTAGATGAATGACTACTGTCTTCCTGAAGAAAATTTAACCATTCACGTCTTTCTTCTTTGTAATTATCTAGCAGCTAAATGGTCAGCTCTTTCAGTGCCTTTGGGAATCTGAATCCAAATGTGTTTTAGAGAATAGATACAAGCATAGGCAAAGGATCAGAAAGACAGACTCCCATAGTCAGAAGAGTGCACTATGGATACCTCTGAAGCTTTAATTCTTCCTGTAGACCTTAAAATCAGAGACCACACACATGCTTCTTTCATTCACTCTCTCACTGACCGAGTATCTGCATGTTCAAATCACTCTGTTGGATTCCACAGGGAATAAAGAGAAGAAAAACAGACAGTTTCTCCTATTAAGGAGCCTACCTTACAGTTGGGGAAACTATGACAAGTATATCAATTGTGTATCAGAACTAAACTACTGGGAGGTCACTGCCAGAAAAAAACAGCAGTTCTCTGACTGTCCAGAGGAGGGGGCCATAAGCACCCAGTGTTTGTGCAGGTGGAGAAAGGGCTGTTAGGGGTGAAGGAACCTGAGATTAGTAAAAGCTTTAGTGAACATTAATTCCCCTTTTCTTTGTTTAAACAACTTCACTTATTCACCTATATTCTTAACTATTCGAACCACTCAAATAATGTGTTTTATGAAGACCACATGGCAGAAGATAAGTGAAATGGAAAAATAGACATCTATGTTCAGAAAAGGAAGCAGGGTGTGAACCTAAGCACTTCTAAGAACACTTTGCTAGAAAGAAGGTGGCCTATCTGCTAGAATCCAGTGCTACTTGACCCATCCAGAACTATCAAGTCCTCAAGACTCACAAGTGTGCTGTGCTTCTCAGACAGGTGGTCAATATCATTTAAGAAAAGTCATCAGTATATTAAGTCATTAGACACAAAGAAATACTTGGTTACCAAATGCAACAAAACTTGGGGGAATACTCTACTAAAAAACAAAACTACGTTAAAAGGCATTGTATTCAGACTTATAGGGTGTAATTGTAGAGATGGTGGTTAGGAGAAAGATTTGGAGCCTGGGCTGAATTTGAATCCTGGTGTTCGCATTTATTCTCTGTGTGGCTGCAAATGAGGATGGTAATTATTTTAAAATCTTGTGTTCTCATGAGGCTCACATCAGCGAACACACTCAGGACTATGTTAGATACCTAATAAGAGCTAAATAAATATTAGGTGCCTCCTCCCAGCCCCCATTGCACTATTCCAGTAATGCTGAAAGCTGAAACAGGCCTTTAGAGACCATTATTTCTTAGAATTGCCCTCTGTTTCTGTACCGCGCACATTGTGTTTGATATAGTAATACACTAATACCACAGGCAGAGCATTTCTCATGTTTGACCTGAAAAGTTGAACTTTTCCTCAACCTTTATTTTCAATAAATAGCAATAGAATATTTTGATACATTTTCAATAAGTATCTTCATCTTGGCATTTATCTGGCGGCAGGAGACCATTATCGTGTGATAAATAGTTTTATTCCATTGACATTTCCATGTCTGTAAAATGAACAAGATTTATTCATCCAATTAACATTTGAATGTCATGTTTAGCTACAAGTTAAAAACAAGCTGCCTTCAGTATCTGTGTTATATTGTTTTCTGAACACATTTATAGAGTAGGGCCAAACTTTGCCCTTAAGATAAGCACTGTAGGTCCTCAAAATATGCACATTCCACACGTGTGTGTGTGTGTGTGTGTGTGTGTGTGTGTGTGTGTGTGTGTGTGTTGATGTGAGAAGAGGAGAATGGGTTTAAGGACTTCAGTGTCAAACAGCAAATGAAATAATCAAATTATAAAAAGATGACATGCTTTCAAAATAATTTTCCGATGTCAAAGTTAGAAGAAATTAAGTTATAAGATAATAAAATGTTAGAGCTGGTACAATGACTAGTTTTATAAATAAGGCAACTAAGGTCTTGGGAGATATACATCTGCCAAAATGATGTAGCCAGTGCATGACTGCACTGGAGCTGGAGTGCAAGACTCAGGGCTCATAATTCCATGCTCTCCCTGCTACTCTCTGCTGCCTCTATGACAGAGGCTGTATCCATTCTTTCTCACTTCAGTCCCACCATGGGCAGTTCTCAGTCTCTCACACATTGCAAATGCTTCATTAATATGCACTGAGTAAGTGACCAATGAAAGAATGCCTTCCTTAACTTCATTTCCTCTAAGACAGACCATGGCTTTGGAGACCTAGAGAAGAATCCTGGTTTAATATCTGCTAATCAGTAATAATTTTAATTATATTCCTGAAAATATTTTTTAGTTAATATCTAAGGATGAAGTAGGTGGTTTGGCTATTCCCACTGTCAACAAACCACATACTCTGTGAGAAACAGTCATCCAAAATGCAATGATCAGCAGCACAGCAACTATATGGAGACCCAAAACAAATGTTATATTTGCATCAGATTTGATGCTAGAACTGAGATGATGTGACATAAGTTTTCAAACAACACTAAATTTAGAGGGGGGAAATGTATATAATACCTTTAAATACAGGAATACAAAATGATCTGGTCAACTTAAAATAATAACCACAAAGAGTTAATGATTTCAAAACATAAAAAATGGATAAGACTCCTGTATGCATGTGCTACTTACCAGTTGCTATAAACAGAACAGTGTATTTTGTGAATAGATTTACAGTTGCAATAGTTCTCTATTGCATTTACAGAAATATTTAAAAACATGTATTAATGATAGTTAAATGGGTGCTTGTGCAAGCTACCTTGACAAGAGTGTCAATCTCTCCAGTTTCTGCTGACCATTTACACTGTAGAAGATCTGGGTGATAGAGCTTTGTCTCTCTCACATACAGATATAACAAAAATGATTTAATAAGGTGTAATATGGATTCCTTTCCTGAGGCTTCATCATTTGTTTGCTTAGTCATAGCTCACACCTTCAAGATCAAAGACATACAAGAGTTAGTTTTGCATTCTTTTATACACCAACTAATTTTTTTTTTTAACCTAACCAGCAATATCTTCATCCATGCCATAAACTACTGAGTATTCAAATATGATTGTGGCTAATTATTCCAAAAACAAAATGGAGCCTTCAGAAATACCAATGAAATCATTGCACTGAGTTAGTCAAACATATAAAGAGCCACTTCACAAAATAGAGATTAAATATGGCAGACATTTTAAGAATGTTGTAATATTATATCTAGTCTGTCTATATACAAACCTTTAGCTTAAGTGAAAATGTGGGCATAAACAAGTACTTGCTTAAGCTCATGTAACACATCATGCCTTCATGTTCAGTTCAAAGTATCTTCAATCAGAACTTTAAGCCCTGTTAAGAGGGTCTATTTTTTCTGTCTGGCCTCAGTCAGAGGAGACATAAGCATACTCAATCAACAACTCTCTAGTTTCAGACCCTAGATATTCGATAGCACCAATTTGAACATGTTTAGAAATCTCATTAATCACACTGAGGCTGAGAAGCCAGTGCAATCCCTCGCATTCTTGAAAAAGTGAAATAGAAGCCAAAACAATTTCAGAAGTAGCCCACAAAGTGAGCATGGTAAATTAAGGTCATTAATTTAACAATAAGCATTTACTGCGTGCCTACTATGTGACTCTATCACCTGAAATGATACTACACATTTGAGTTAAAAGGAATGTTCCGTCAACAACCTAAAATGTCAATGACAAAAAAAGAGGAGACATTGGATGAAAAATGGAATAATTAAAAAGTACAATCTTTAGCAACTGCCAGTAGCATTTAATTTAACATTTTCATATAAAATCTCTCGATTGAATAATAACCTACATGTCAAGTAATCTATATATTACTCAAAATGTGCAGCTTTCTAAATTAAATTTCTCAAGGTTATTAGTTTTCATGAACCAAATAACAATGTGAAATATTTCACCAGCACTACCTAACTCCAGTACAAGCACGCTGAGGTGACCTTTATCTTATTGTGCATGGTTTCACCAAAGCTCATAACTCCTGAAATGAAGATTACAGAAAGCATAAATTATTTAGAGTAAGTTTAAGAATAATGTTCTGAATGTGGTCACTAGAAATAAAGAGTGGGTTTTTCAAAATGAAATATGCCATTATTCAGTATATTGTCTTCAAGAGTGCTTGAAAACATAAAAATTCATGTCATACTCCACAGTAAGTCGGCGATGATGCTCCACCAAAGGGGAAAATTCATTTTTGCTTCAGTGAGAAAATTACATTGCGATATGAAATGAGTGTTAATTGTTCATGTGCATTTATATCAGCTACTGTGCTGGATAATTCTGCAATTTTTATTTATCCCTGCATACATTGTTTAGCATTTTGTATCTCTTAATCTTAGGAAATATGAATAAAAAGTCCTCAAATATAGATTCTTTTTACTTATGTATGGCGTCAATTAATTGACTCGTGTTCCTTCAATTTTAGTTGTTAATTAAATGACAGCATCAAGCAGTAAGAAAAAAAAAAATGGGGGTGGACACAGAGTTTGAGCCTCAGCTCCTTAGTTTTCCATGTACCCTTAATGCATCACTCAACTTTTCTGAGAACTCAATTTTTACATCTGTGCATGGGATAATAACAGTTCCTACCTTACAAGGTTATGTGCTGCCGTTTCTCTGTAAATTCTAAGTGTGCATTACAACAGCTCCTGCATTGAGTGTCTGCCCCCTGGTGGTCAATGCACATCATAGTGACTGGTCAGAAGGTGGGAAGGACACTTAGCATATTAGCCTTTTATATAGATAGATTTTTATGAGAAAAATGCCCAGCAAGCAGCACAAAGAGAAATAATTTTAAGTCACCTGAAACTGTCTATGCACTGTGTTAAGAAACTATAATAATGCACGATGCTGTAACCTCTCACTTAAATTAAATGAAACACTC